TTTTGTATCGCGTTTGCTGTGTCAGGTCCTGGCATCGATTTGAGGAAATATTTATTAAAAGCCAGTAATTTTTATCGCCACTAAATAAATTCCTGATTACCCTTAATTCTTAATAAATTTCCTATACCTTTTCCCTTCGAAGGAAAATTATTCTAATGTTATTTACGTTGTAAAAATAAGATCGCTCCCAAAGTAACTATTATACAGTCTAGTATATTTTAAAATTGCACATTTAGTCCAGTGGATTTATCTTCGATTGCGATGTTTAAATATTTGGTTGTGTAGCGACTTCACGAAATGTATATTTTAAGAGGTTGAAACGGAAAAATGTGTTTTACTTCGAAAGGTTCGATGGACGTGTGTGCGAAGTTAAAAGAGTTTGCTGTATTTGAGCATGTGTAAATATCACAGATGTATTCTATAATATATAAAATGAATAACTTTCGTAAATTTGAAAATATATGAGAATATTAATTATATAATTTTGAAAAATTAGAAAAAATATGTATACGATATAAATGACCTTTTTCCTTTACTATTATTTTTTTAGATTATTATTTTTAAAGTCTTCGACGGAATTGTCAAAAAGTCATTTTGAAAAGAGTTTTTAGATGAAACTTTTAATAATAGGAGAAAGAGGAGATTAATATATTTCCTCTTATATTTTTCACACTTGAAATGATATAAAAATAATGTTCGTAATATTTTTTTCGCATTTTCAAATTCGCAATAGTTAATCAGCCGTTCGTTCCCTTTGGTAGACTATTTAATGTAATTACATAGTTAACCCTTCATGAAAGCTATTTGTATTTATAATTAAAATGTGAAGCTTTCGCCAATAAATCTATTTTTAGATGTAAATGATAGATTTTTCTTAATAAAACTATCTTAATATGGTGCAATTGTATTAAGTTAAAACGAAAAGTGCAATATGTACTCTGCGGTTATGTGTAACCTCAATAAAAAAAATATATATAATAATGTTGAAAGAAAAAAGCTTTTGTAGCGATAAATTATTTTTCAATTTGTTGTTCTGTTAATAAAACTTTCAATGTACGTAATACATATTATCAAACTATAATTATAGATAATTCAGATTTGTTCTACTTTTAATCGAGATTGAATAATAACTAGTCAATAAGGTAAAAGTTAAAAAAAATGTTAAAAATTTAATAACTTGTAACTTAATTTAATTAATTTTAAATGGATTTGTTTTTGACTTAATTTAGTCTCTCTCTCTCTCTCTCTCTCTCTCTCTCTCTCTCTCTCTCTCTCTCTCTCTCTCTCTCTCTCAGATTTTAATTTATTAGTAAAAGACAATAAACTCAAATAATTCATAAAATTAAAAATAAAACAGGAGCTACGAGTCAAGCTAGATCTTACAACAAAAACATAAGTTTATTAAAACAAACGTTTCGACCCCTACATTGGGTCATTCTCAATGTTGAAATTAATACAATTTAAAATCAACGACTTATTTAAAAAACAATAACTTGCTAATACATATTATGATTTTTCAAATGAGTCATTGATTTCAAATTGTATTAATTTCAATATTGAGAATGACCCAATAGGGATCAAAACGTTTATTTTAATAAACTTATGTTTTTATAGTTAATCCAGCATTAAGGTCTAGCTTGGCTCGTAGCCCTTGTTTTATTTTTAATTTTTTAATTTATTAATCTTCTTTTTTTTATCTCTCTAAATGCCAATATTATTTTCTATAAGATCTTAAGCATTAAAGAATTAATTTAGAAAAAAGCTCAATGATTGTGTGATAGATGCTCGTCTAAAGTTAAACATGGGTTGGATCTATATTTAGGAAACGCTATCAGGATAACTGCATCATGCTATTCTTGTTTCGTTTAATAAAGAAAGAATAGAAACTTTTTATTTATGTATAATTTTCAAAGAATGTGCAACCATGGCCAGCACAATGAGAAGTACAAGATACCTTACACTTTTAAAAATTACATTTTATTTTTCTTTTGTAATATAAAAATATCAAAATATGAAAATACCCATATACAAATATTAAAAAAACAGTTTTTATTACACAAGAAATATCTTTGTTATTTTATATTAATTTAAAATAAAATATTAAATTTATCTTTATATGTAATTGTTTTGTTATTTAAAGTAATCTGATTTTAAGAAAAATTTGGATATCCTGATTTAATAAAAATAATGTTTTTCAAAATTAACTTTTTATTTAACTTGAATTAATTCAATCTTAACGTAACTTTAACTAATTTAGCTTTTTGTTCATTTAACTTTTAACTTAACTAAATTAATTTTATTAGCCATAAAATTAACTTTAACTTAATTTAGTTAAAAAATATATTAACTTACCTACTTTTAATACATAAATGATTTTAAGTAAATGTGTAATTTTAGTTTAAAATTTATTACTTTTAACAAAATACAATTATACAACCAACAAACACGAGAACTGTTATTTAACTCAAAATTACGTTCATTTCATTAAATAGCAATTACCTATAATTTCCAAATAAAGTATAATACTAACAAAATCCAAACAAATTAATAGATTTAATTTTGCGTAAAAAAATATCTCTTTTCTTGCAAATTTATACTTACATTCATGTTTTTTCTCCAAACAATTAAATATTTTCAGTTATATAGGAGTCAGTTGTACATCTCACACGAAAATATTTTGGTACATATTATTTGAGTATATAATAGCACAGAAAATGTCTATCCGTTAATTTGAAATTCTCTTTCTCATTAAACACTGTATAATCCACGTAATATTTTGTAGATTCAGTTCTACCTTCCAATTCGATAATCTGCTTCTTGGTCGTAATTATTCCGTTCGCAATATACAATACATCTGGTAGTATAATTATGAACTACATATTATTTTGTACGTCGTTAACGGTAGTTTCCATGGTGAATAATTAATTTGTATGCTGTGTAATACGCAATACGAATAATAAAATCTTGAAGTAAGATTAACGCATGGCGCATAATGCATATTCATTAGATGTAAGTAATATTGCATGTTATTTCTGCTGTAGCGACCATCACGCTGTAAATTAATTGATTTGACTGCCGCCTCTGAATTTTACACAGTCTCGGAGCGGAATGATATCACCGGAAAATTGCGCAGCGCGTATAAGAACGAGCCAAGTAATCGAAAAATCCGCGCGCGCTTTCTCCGTGCTTCCAATGAGAGAACGAACAAAAATCTTTAATCCGCTGTGGCCGCGATTGCGCTACTTTTACAGCAACACGGATGAAAAATGTTGATTGACTATTTCGGCAATTGTCGTAGCGAGTAATAATTTCACAAGGAGGCCACAGCTGCTGTTTCAGAAAATACCAAAAAATACCAGAAAATACCAAAAAACGGAACTACAATTAAATAGATACACATTTTTTTTAGGTAAATATATAATAATTGGCGTATATACCTACAATTATATATAATAGAAATGTTAATGTTTTTTTTATATTTAGCTCTTCGTTTGTAATCATATTTTTAGTTCCTTCAATTTTTATTTCCTTTGTCTGCAATCTAGATTTTTTATCCAGTCCAAGTTTTTTATTCTCTAAACATAAAAAAGTGGGAAAATTCAGGATTACTTTTCAACATCTTCATTACATTACCAAATATTTTTAACACATATATTAAAATTTGTATATAATAATACATAAAAATTTGAACAAAAATGAAGAAAAAATGGAAAATCGTTTAAAAATATATAATTCAGAAATAACGAAATCACACTGTGCTATCCTCTCTCCTTTTTATTTGAAAAAATTTGAAAGTAAAATTTTATTTGTGTTAAAAAGACTCAGAGTGTAAATGGAGGAAGTAATTTTTACAATTGTTAATTTAACATTGGAATCATACACGCAAGCTTAGTAGAATAAATACAATAATAGTACAACTGTAATATAAATTAAATACAATTCTTCTGTAATTCTAGGATCTTTTTTCAGTTTTTAATTAATAATAAATTAATATCAAAAGTTGAACAAAATTAATATTTAATTAACATTAAAAATTAATTAATATTAGTATCTACATATTACTACATTAATTAAACGCACATTTATATTATAATTAATTTGCATTATATCAATGATATTTCAAAAATAGATTTCACTTCTCATTACTGCCTTCATTTCAAAATTTATCCTTTGTCACGGATAATATTTCTCAAATGTGAAAGAGAAAATAATTAGCCACTTCAATCAAAAATTATCGACAAGCTCCTGAATAATTGTACTCGAAACTCATTGCCTTCATAAAAGATATTGTTGTTAATTATGACAGTAAAGGAAGTGTTTGACATACGATCTCATTGTTTACATTCCATCATTGTCATATATACGTCAGACGGAAAGTAAAAGAGAAAGAAGAAGAAAGAAGGAAACCAAACTCTCATTTAATATTATAATACTGTTATCCAACTGTATTTAAAGAATTATTTAACAAAGATTTTGTAATTTTAATTTTGTATTCAATTATTTTAAATCATACGACTTTTAAGAATTGTCTTAAGTGTATTTCATTATTTTTTCATGTTTCATAAAAAATGGAGATTTTAAAAAACATACTTATAAAAAATTTATATCTCTAAATCTCCTATTTATCTTTAAGTATTCTTGGAAAGCTAATGGATCAAGTAGAAACAGAACGTAAAAATTAGTACATATCACATTATACATTTATTATTTCCGAACCATTGCTTTCCCGGTCGTAAAATCGCAATGCCAATTCGTGTCTGGCAGTGACGAACATTGGGGTCGTACCATAGCGTTGTTTCAAAGAATTATTATCATTTCTACGACCCGACTGGTCACACCTCTTACTGTGCGGTATTGGGGACCAACCGCAGGGTACGACAAACGAATTAATGGTTAAAAGAGATCGTTTTTGCCTATCCGGGGGTGGCCGCCGCTATAAAACGATTCCGTTCCTTTCGGCCCAGAGGTAGTCCATTGGCTGTTTTCGTTAAGGAAGAAACATGGCCTTTGTGAAGGTAAACTAAAGTCGATAACGCGGCATTCGATATCGTAAATTGATACGCCGCGGGACCGTAGGCAATACAGTAGGGAATATTACTAGGGCGCTTTGCTAGAACGGAAATTCGTGTTGTAACAGGTCGGACGAAGGCATGCACACGTCGCTTATAATTACGTATTCTTGCGAACAAAATTGTGGAAGGAGTTGCATCTTTTGTGAACGCGTTACGCCGCTGACGTCGGAATAATTGCGCATCCCGGAAAGTATTAACGTGGAAAGCGTTACAATGCGAGCGAGTTGCGCCGGGCGAGGAGTAATTTTTAGTTCACACATACACACATACGCGACCACTATGTAACGATTATATAACGATTAAAACGAAAATACAATATTTTGCCGTTATGAATGTTGGAGTGTATTAAAATCTCGATTATATTATAAATTATAATATTTAAATGATAATTATATTAAAATTTTGCAAATAGTAAGGTACGTCCCAGTGACATGTATCTATATTCGGATACTTATACAAAATTTATTATTATTAATCTCTAATGCTTTTTTATTATAATATTATAATTTAGTTATATTTGAAGGTTACAATTAAATAACAACGATATAAAGACTCTTAACGATATTAGTCATAAATACATAACTTTTGACTGCCCCATCGCATATACAACATTAGACTACGTCGAGATCCATCATAATTACTGATTTCCGCGCGTTAAAAATGTTGCGACACTGAACTTTATTTATTTATTATTTATTTTTTTATGTAGTCTTTTATTACTTTTTTTTATTATATTCATTTTTTTACATCTGAGGAAGGCTCAATCCAGCAGCCGAAACTTGTTTGTTTTATATTAATATACGCCGTTCTACTTCTTATTTTATGTATTTATGACTAATATCGTTAAGAGTCTTTATATTCACTTTGTTTATTTTGGTTACAATTAAATTATGATATTATATTTAAAAATTTGTATATTTTAAAATTAAATTATGATTATTATACTTGAAATTAATAGTATAAACAAATAAAGATTTGTATAAATGTCTGGATGTAGGTAAATGTCCGGTTACTGGAGCGTTTACCTACTTTTATAATACTACATTATAAAATTATAAGAGTATAAAACATTAACGTTAATTGAACAATTATTAATTCTGAATAATGTAAGTAGATTTTAGAAAATTTTACGTCAACAATGCTGTTTTAAAATCAAATCGCAAAATACTTTGCTATAATTAAGACAATAAGATATTGTTAATTAAAGTTATCAATGTCTTTGTTTTTGCACCGCAATAATTTCTTTCGAGATTGAAATATACCGTCCAATAGGAACTTAAGAAAATATCGTTATACAATAGCCTTTTAAGTGAGAAAAGGGTGCATACTATCCATCTTCATAAAACGTTATAATAAAGCCTTATAACGAAGACTTATCGATCTTTCGCCCCAGCTTACGCACAGCGTATAATATTTCTTTCTTTTTTATTTTACGGATTGAATATTAGAAAGAGTATTAATCGTATTAAAGTGAAAGCAAGAGATCAATTGAAAATTAATATACTACAATTTAAAGCAATATTATATAAATGTAACAGAATATCGAAAAAGAAGATATTCCTGCTACAAAAGATTTTAATAAAACTACTTATTTCAAGTGAAGCTAGGAATTTCCTGAACGGTGCATTTATCGCGAAGAGATCCAAATCCCCTTCTCTCTCGTTCTCTCTGTCTTCTCTCTCTTTGATATCCAATTTGCGGGAAGTGGACGGATATTAACCTTTCATGATCCACTCGAGTAAAGATACTATAACGTATAACATGAAGAATAACATGAAGGGGGCTCAGCACTTCACCTGGCCGCAGGCAAAGACGCGATTCCGACCTCAAACTTCGGATGATCGATCCAATTTCAAGTTTCGCCGATCTCATCGACCCGTAGGGCGCAATGCCGTAGCCTCCATAAAACAAATCGCCAGAGTCCAGGTCGCGCTGAACAAAGTATCACGCAGTCGTGACCGTAAACTAGCGAGCGCGGAGTGTTTCGGAGGTCTTTATGTGGGCGGTAAAAGCGTCTCGGTGAGTCCGTTCTGGCACACATATTCGGAAACGAAAGAATAATGGTAGGGCTTTTTTTTCGGTAATTTTCTACTACACCACCACCACACACACCGCATCGTCGGTCGGTGCAATGAAAATGAATTTTGCTTCCTGCGTTTCGGTTTCCTTTCTCTCTCTTTCACCCTCTCGCTTTCCATCTCTTTCCTCCTCTCTCTTTTTCGATTAGATTTAAGAGATTAACTTTTCCAATTATTCGCGGCCACCAATTTACCTTTAACAGCGAACAGTACTTCACGGGCGGCGTTGTCGGCCGCTTACACGACGCTCGAATGTCCCTCCTCGCTTTGCAGGAATTGATTGTCTGCGTCGTCTTCGTCGCTGTCGTTGTTAAGAGCTTTCCCAGGATGTACGAGGAAAATGCGGTGGGTGAATGTCTATCTCGCTTAATTCATGGAATCGGTCACTCGAGAAGGTAATTACGCGCATTGATGAAAGGTTTATCGATCCGCACATGTTCGTCTCGATACTCACATGTTATAAACTGCGGGTTAAATTAGGCTTAATTTTGTTAAAATTACAACGATTTCATTGATTATTCAAAAAGATCTGTGAATATAATAATTTTCTATGAAATCAATTAATAGAGGAAAACAATGGCGGGGGACAGACCGCGGATATAGATCGCAATGAACACAGTCATGATCACGCGTACTCATATCATCATTTTGTCGAGCCAGTGGCGGGCCATCACGAGGAAATAACCTGGCAAGATAAACACCATCATCACATCATTACAAGGTATAAATATTCCTATGGCGTAGACGATCATCATACTAAAGATCATCACGGACAGAAAGAACACCGTGACGGTGAATATATAGAAGTACCCTCGATATTCTCTAAGGCTTTAGCGCTTAACTTTTATATTATATTAATATCGTTATCACATATTATCTCGGCATGCTGAACGAGAATAACAGATTCTTCTTCAGAATGTTACATGTATTTTTTTAACAAAATGAAAAAATTATGAAAAATTACAAATTTTTCTGTATTGTATTTGAAGTAATATAAAAAATTTGGCAGTTTAGAACCTAAATCTAAACTATATTTTAAAAAAATGATTAAGATATGTGAGAAAATTTTTATTTAAAGTAAAAATTGTTAAATATGAATATATTGATATCTTATTGAATTTTTTATACGTAATATGTAACATTCATCTTTATTAAGTATAAATCTAATTTGAATCACTTTTTGCAGAGCCTGATATGTTAAATAAAAATCTCTGTATCTGTTATTTGATTACCAAAGATTGCTATTGAGAATGTCAATTTGAAAATTAATTTTTAATTAAAAATTAACTTTTTTCTTCTAATGTCATATATTTGTAGCATACATGTCTCTTATATTGACAAAGTATTCATATAGCAACCCTAGATGTATCGCAATACTAATCCAGAGTCAGCGAGACAGTGAAATGTAATTCGATCTCGCGCTCTTAATTAGAATCTCGAAGTAATTGGATATCTGCTCTTAATTAGAAGCTAGGAAGGACCAGGTTTGTTTCTTACTCCGGTGCGTTACCGGCCCGTTGTGGATACATCCGTCACTTTTCTGGTGCGCTTGCCGTAAAAACGTGAGAGTCCCGTCAAGCTCGTTGGTATTCGGCGTGCGCCTGTTAAATTTAATTGTGACTGATACGAGAGAGAGCATAGAAGTTTATTACGCATTCATTGGGAAGCTCTCTGGCAAAGCTGGCGAATGAAATGCACGGAGCTTACAGGAAAGCTATTCCGATACGGTGTACCTGGAAAACGTGTAACTGCCTGCGTAAACGCGAATTTAATTGGAACGTATGGAGAGATACACGAGTTTCTATTATATCTTCATTCAGTCTAAATACCATTCTTATCTCAGCTCCACATATACGCGAGTATCACGTCTTAATTACTTCAATAAATATCACAAATAGCA